GCCAATCAATGATCCTCTCTCATCATTGATGTTTCTATCTCTCTGCCCTCTCCCTTCCTCTCTGAAATCAATAAAAAAAATATTTATATATATATAATGACAACCACCAAAACAGCAATAGCTGTCCAGTGTGAATGAATCAAAAAAATTATACCTTAAAGATAGAAAGTTCCTTTAGTTCCCATGTGTCCTACCAAGGTCCTGGACGGCCATAGTTTCTGCTATGATGTACAGAAGAGTCTCCTAACATTTAAGACTTGCCCGACTGGAGTGGCTCAGTGGTTGAGGTTTGACCTATGAACCAGGAGGTCACGGTTTGATTCCCAGTCAGGGCACATGCCCAGGTTGTGGGCTTGATCCCCAGTGTGGGGCATGCAGGAGGCAGTCTATTGGTGATTCTCTCTCATCACTGATGTTTCTCTCTCTCTCCCCCTCTCCCTTCCTTTCTCTGGAAATCTTTACCTATTATCTGTTAGATAGATAGATAGATAGGATAGATAGATAGATGATAGATAGATAGATAGATAGATAGATAGATAGATATAGAGATAAAAGTATAAAAGACTTAACCAGGAAAAAATAAAAATAAATTAAAAAAGGACTTAACCAGGAGATTGGAGATAGGGAAAAAGAGGATACGGCATAGAAGAAATAAGAGGATGTTGTACTTCCAGGCCTGGGAGTTGATGGGAAAAAAGGAAGAGAGACAAGTAAGGAAGGCAGAGCCACAGGTTGGGATCTGGGGCAGGGAAGAGGGTGGTTCCCAGAACAAGAGCATTTCCACATTCAAGAGTCTGGATGACAACCCTTAGGCAGGATGATGGCTCCATGCCAACTTGTATACATGTGTATAAGCATAACCAATGGACGCAAGACACTGGAGGGGGCAGGGAGGGGGGCGTGCGGGGAAAGGAGGGAGGGCACGTGCTGGGAGTTAGAGAAGCTGGGAGAAGGTTAATGGGGGGGAAAAAGGAGACATATGTACTGCTATTTGTAATACTTTAAACAATAAAAAAAAAAAGAAGACAACAGGGGTGAGGGGTGGGGGGAGGTAAGGAAGATCCAGTGTGCGTTTCTAGGCCTGGGACACTGGGTGTCATGAAAGGCAGTTGAGAGCTTTGTGTGGCTGCTTTGGGACCCACAGTAGCAGCATGTGGTAGAGACTCAGGGTGCCTGCTGCGCCAGTGAGTGGGGAAAGGCTGAGTCAGCAGGAGGAAGCAATGAGTCCTGACTGAACCAAGACAGAGCATGTGTTAGGAGCAGACGCCAAGCAAACAATCAGTGGGCCCCAGAACCAGGACATCCGCCCATAGAGAGCTCAGCTGTGTCTGACACTGCTGATTGTCTACCCAAGATCCTTGCCTCCTTTTTACTTAAACCCAAATTATGTCTGACACAGCAATGTGCCAATAACTTACGCTCACTTACGCAGACCTTACCTAGGGAAGTTGGCGTAGAGGCGCTCTGGGAAGGCTTTTCCTTCCCTGCTAAATGGACACAGACACAGATATGAGAGCTGGAGTTGAAGCAGCCATGTTGTTAACCTGAGGCCATGAGCATAAAGACAAAAGCCAGCCGGCCACAGTGGCAGAATTGAACAACTGAAAGAATAGGATTCCTTTCCTAGGAAGAGAGCTACTTATCTGGGGGCAAATATTTGATAAAAACCAAAATAGAACTACTTAGAACAATAAAATAAATATCTGAGGGCTAACAGACTGGTTAAAAAAGGAACTTCATGAAGAAAATAGAAACCGTCCTAGCTGGTTTGGCTCAGTGGATAGAGCGTCAGCCTGTGGACTGAAGGGTCCTGGGTTTGATTCTAGTCAAGGGCACATGCCAGGGTTGCAGGCTTGATCCCCAGTAGGGGGCGTGCTGGAGACAGCCAATGAATGATTCTTTCTCATCATTGATGTTTCCATCTCTCCTTTTCCCTTCCTCTAGGAAATCAATAAAAATATATTAAAAAAATAAAATAGAAACGGCTACTGAATATTTGTATTGTTTTACTATATGTTGCCTGTGTTTTACTCCAGATTCTTCAGAAAATGTACCTAACTGGTTAATACTCTTTGTGAACTTGAATTTGCTTCTGGGAGATACCACATAGTTCTGAGTCCTGCTCCAAGGTAGAAGAGGTAGACTGTGTCTAATGCTTTATTCATATGGATAAGATTCAATTTGTGTCATTTTTTAAAAATATTTTTATTGATTTCAGAGAAGGGAGAGGGAGAGAGAGGTAGAAACATCAATGATGAGAATCATTGATTGGCTGCCTCCTGCACACCCCCTACTGGGGATCAAGTCCGCAACCCAGGCATGTGCCCTTGGTCAGATTCGAGCCTGGGACCTTTCAGTCCGCAAGCTGACACTCTATCCACTGAGCCAAACCGGCCCGGCCAATTTGTGTCAACTTGTAATTTTTTTGG